TGCAATGAGACTAGACAAGGTTTTGGCGAAGCCCAGACGGGGTTTGTCAAAAACAGAGATGCCGCAGACAATGTCAGGACTATGGTCAATGCGATGGTGATAGCCAGCAAGGACAACCTTGCCACTTACGCCGTCACCCTGGATGATGGGGAAAAGGCGTTTGATAGGGTCGAATGGGCCTTTTTGTTCCGGGTGATGGACAAATTGGGCTTTCTTCTCCCGTTCATTGATGTGTGCAGACTCCTGTATGCTGACCCTATGGTCTCCGTGGTTACAAACGGCTTAACATCTCTCAACTTTGCGCTAAGCAGAGGTACAAGGCAGGGTGGGTTGCGCTCTCTCTGGCTGGAGAAGCCAGCAGTTGGCGGGACTAAGTTTCAGCACAGTAGAAAACAAAATTTTTCTTTATGCTGATGATGCCCTTATCAATCCCAACTATTTTGGCCCTGGTGAGGGAGTATGGGGGAGACTCGGGATCTAAAATAAACGTAGCTAAGTCAAAATGAATCCCCTATCACTGGTATCTCTCAAACCCCCAGAGGGTCTGTTGCCCTTTAAGTTGTCTCCATCCTATATCAAACATCTCAATGTTATGGTCCCTTCCTCACTGACAACGCATTTCGGGAAAAATGTCCCCCCCCACCTCAGGAGATTGGGGCCTCATTATTGGCATGGGCAGACGTCCCCCTCTTCCTCTATAAGAGGGCAAACCTGATCAAGATGCCGATTTTCCCCAAACTGTTGTACACTTAAGTATTATCCTTTCCGATATTCCAAGGCCCTTTAAGGTACTCCACTCCAGAATTGATATGTTCATTTGGAATCGTAAACTCTCGCGTGTATTGGCTACCCTTCTCCCACTCTACCGGTAAGGGAGAGTGGCTTAGCTCTCCTGGATTTACCGAAATACCATACGGCGATAAGCCTGCAGGTTCGGTCCTACGAAAGTTGGGATTGCTAAACGCTGAGAAGAGGAGTCTGTAAAACCGTGCTCCCTTATTGAGTTTGTCCTGGCCTCACCCAGAGATAGACCCCGAGAGATAAAACCGTTGTGGACGGTCTCCTCGATGCTGGGGACCTGCAGGGACAGGCATATCACCTTCCTGGTCCCTCTCCTCAGAAGAGCGTTGCTCTGGAGTAATCCGACTTTGAAAGTGGGGGGGGGGGGGGGGGGCAGGAGATAATGTGGGTCAGCAGGAGGGAGTCCAGCCTGGAAGTTGTGGGGGATCTTCTGCCTAAGGAGGGGCGGGGTGTTGTCCTTTAGTCAGATGCAGGCTAAGTTTAATATCCCTCCGCTCCCATTTCTTTAGATACTTACAAATCAGAGACGCCATTGTGAAAGACCGTGGTAAGAACCTGAGCGAACAATTTCACCCAATCATAAATTGGCTAGAAATACCAAAGGCCAAATATAGAATTGTACATGCCTATCGCCTGTGCCATAACCTTCTAGCCCAAGCAGGGATTGAGCACATAAGCCACAAGCTTAAAGGGAAGGATCGAGAGTTTGAGACCAGATGGTCCCCGGTCCTATGGAGCCTGACGGACGGCGAAGGTGCCCAAACCAGACCAGTCACTCGGAAACTTTTAAGTTATTTCGCCCTGCAGAAATGGACATAAATCTGGCGGGCCCCTCAATCTGGCCCAAGATAATGGCGACTGAGGCTTATCCAGTTTAAATTCATGCATGAAACCTAGATGACCAATGAGTGAAGAGCACAATTCATGGAGGTCTCCCCAGATTGTCCCTGATGCTCCCCAGGTACGGTTCAGTCTTACCTTCACGCCTTTTGGCTATGCCCGTACGTAATACAACTCGACTGGGAGATCTTGAACTTCTTTAACAGCATTTGTAGCACTCGTCTCAGCCCTTCAGCTGAAACGACTCTGTGGGGCCTGACACCAGACACTCTGCCGAAACATCAAAATGCTCTACTTCAAAGCTTTACCATTGTGGCCGGGAAGGCCTTGTCCAATTGGAAAGATCATAACCTCCCCCCCCCCCCCCCTCGTGGAAACAGTAGTTTCCATAACCTTCTAGCCCAAGCAGGGTTTGAGCACTTAAGCCACAAGCTTAAAGGGAAGGATCGAGAGTTGGAGACCAGATGGTCCCCATTCCTACGGAGCCTAAAATGAGGTGCGTGGGTGAGGACGTTGGGAGATGGGGACGGGTGTAAGGGGAGGGGGCCGCAACCCTCCGTCGTGAAGAGCGGGAGCAGAGCATCGCTCAGTGGGAGGTTAGGGGACATCCATTTAGTACGTACGCAAAAATCTGTCAAAACTTGACCCCCCTTCCCTCCCTGTACGCACACGTACTTTTTACACCCCCCCCTCACCTGTGTATGTACGGTTGATGCACCCCCCCCCCGCGAATTTACTATTATAATGAGCCAAGAATGTCTGTGTGTCCCGCGCGTCACTCCACATGAGGCCCCCGTGTGTATTATTATTTTGTCTAGGGTTTTTCTTTGTACTCCCCCCCCCTCTCTCCCCCTTTTATCCCCCCCCCCCCCTTCCAACCTAACCCCGGCCCCTTTTCTTTTTCCAGTATGTTAGTTACCCCTTTCCCTTACCCCTTTCCCCTCCCCAAATCAATCTTCGTGCCCCTTCACGTGGTGCCCCACTTGTGTGGGGCAGCGAGTCCAACTTCCCCCTTGTAAGGGCCTGCCGCACCGACATCGGTTTGTTCCCCTCCGCTTGCGACCGGGGCTCGAATTGTGTTAGAATAAAAACTGTTTTAAAAAATCCGTACATCACCTTTGGGGCTGTCCATAAATGACGTCACGCACCTGGGGGGGGGGTCAGACATTTGTGATGATGTGTGACGAGGGGGGGGGGGGTTGAGAAATGTGACGTCACATCAAAATATGCAACTTTAAATAACTATAGACAACACGTTCTACTTAATTAAATATACTTTTCAATAAATGTTTTCTCCTACAACATCAAAGTGCAGTGGCACGTTAAATACGCACTACAATGACAATAGTTTAAAAGATTTGAAGCATTTTGTTTTTGGTGGGGGTAGAGCTTTGTGACGTCATATTTGAGGGGGGGGTCTGACTTTTTGTGACGTCGTGTGACAAGGGGGGGGGGGGGGTAAAAAATCGCCCAAAATCGCGTGACGTCATTTATGGACGGTCCCTTTCCTGTTAATGCAAGACTCCTACAGTCGTAACCTACCCTGCTCATTCTGGCATATGGATGCATGTGCGACTTAAGTTGCACCTTCGCCAAGTCTAAATTTCGATTTAACGCAAGGCTACTAGATATAGCGCAAAGGAGGACAGAGTAGAAAAAGCTTCTGCTACAAAGAAACATGTCCCCCGTATAGCCTTTAAAGACTCTTGGGGCAAGTGCTCTTCACAAACACCTATGAAGGCCGACACGGCACACGAGGAGTTGGCCAGCACCACGCCCGGCCACCCTTGTCTCTTACGAGGCAATGTTTACACACCGCACCAGGTACTCATTTGAAGCTAAGTCGACCTTGGTGAGGCCCAGGACCAGTTCAGATGATCGTCATTGGTGTTGGCCATGAAAGGGAATCTAACCTGGATCACCGGGTTTGTAGCGCTGCGCTACCGTTCTCCGCGCTACATACACACACCATAGACACATACACAGCATATGTACATGCTTGCAGTAATGCTTTGTTGTACACTGTCAATACACTCGCTCACTCGCACCATGACCGAATACCAACACACAACACATACACGCAGAATTTACATAAATATACCGTTTCATTAATACTCGCATAAACATGCTGTATTATGCACGTGCTCCCACAACACAAACACATAATGTGGTATATAAAAAATTTGTTTAAGTATATATCTTTGAAATAATACTCTGTTAAAGACTCTGTACTCTACTTGTACACACACCATAAACGCATCATATACAGCATATACCGTTGCATCATTACTCTCGTGTACACGCTGCGTTAAACACATACTCACTCACACATGACCTGCCAGCACAAGGCACATCACGTGTACACCCTGGAGTTAATGATCTCTTATAGCCACGCTCACTCATACATAGAACCAATACACGCAGCACACAAACAGTTTGATGTACACTCTTTGCTTTAATAGAGTACACACCGGTCATTGCATACCAACACACATAAAAGGCAAAGTAACAAACATCACTTGTATGTCTAAACATTACGAGGCTGTTCTTGTGCACACGCTGTGTTGCACATCTCCACTCGGAACAACACTGGCTACACACACGACATACACACACCATACGTAAACACTTCCATTAAAACTCTACTAATCACGCTGACCATTCCACAACACACACGCACAATATATACACAACCTTGCATTAACACACTGTGTACCAGCACACAACACATAACATTTACACACGCAGCATATATACTGTATATCCTTACGTGCATACATGTTGACCAGTCCATATAGTATACTACTTATACACAGCATATAATTGACATTTTCATTAATACTCGTATCAAACACGCTGACCACCGCATGCCAACACAGTGCACATGTAGCTCACGCTCACAATATATGTACTTGAATGAGTACTCTATTAAACACGCTGACAACCGCATACCAGCACACAACACGCACGCACAACAACACGCACACACACGTGTCCTCTGGTGCGCGTGTCACCGTCGCGAACATCGCACGCAGCGCGCTCGGGGGGGTTCAACCTCGGCAGCACCGCCGAGCGAACGCCTCTCGTGCGCAGTCTTAACAACACAGAGCGTGCACTTGTGTTCATTACAAGACTTACAACGCAGCGAGCGTTGTCTCTCTCTCTCTCTCTCATCACTTCAAAGCATCGTATCCGAAGAGCGGCCATGTGCGTGCCGGGATGGTAGAAATCTGCAGAAGCTCCCGCTGGACGTGGGCGCGTTAATGCCCGGATCGGTCCGGGTCGCCGTGCCTTCCCTCTCTTCCCTCATCTGTCCGGCCGAGCCATGCGGTGTTTCCCCTTCTTTCTGCTGCTGCCAGAGTCGCTCAAGCGGAGCCGCAAGCCTCCGAGAGAAGAGGGGACCTCCACCAAGGAGCTACCGCCTGTGCCGAGCCGTCCCTGGGACCAGGACGGGCCCTGGGACCAAGACGGGTCCTGGGAGCGAACCATGGCGGCGGACGTTGGAGGCAACGGCAAGAAGGCGCAGCAGAGTGCCGGTGGGAAGGCGGAGATCACTGGAGCCGAACCGGGACAGGCCAGCTGGCAAGCTCAGCGAGCCACAGTGCGAGAACGGTGGGATCTCGGCGCATTCTCACACATGCTGTGCGGCAGTTCCAATAGATTCACATGTACATGTCAAGCATAGGATTAATGAAAATGTTTTAAACCCAGGGCTCCCTTGGAAAAAAAAAATAACTGGTTTAAATGGACGTTTAAGCGATCAATAAGGTCTTAGTTTATATGTACATACAGATACACTATCTTCACTGTGTGACTACATGTATGTTGTGTACAGCATGCATGCGGTCTAGTGCAGCTTTATTTTTGTTCCACAGCTGTGATTCCACGGTGTGTTTTTAAAATAGAAACCCGCATGGTGTCATTAATAATCCACGTGAATATGTTGCGGCACATTCGGTCCGGACTTCAGGATCGTGGTCAGCACTTTTTTGTTTTCATGTTTGGGAGCCGAGTTACCCATTGGAGTTCAAACAGTCAAGCAGAATTACGGCTTATGGCATTACACACTAAGTATGTATGAATGTTGAACTTCTTTCGCTGAATATATTGCACACTTCAGGTAAAGCTAGTTTGATAGCTACTTGCGTAATTGTTGGTGGTAAGCAAATCAATCTTGAGTTGAAGCTTTCGTGACTGCAGGAATCCATACTCTTTGGTTCTTTCGGTAAAGTCACGTAGATAGAAAATCAATATATTGATATACGTGATCAATCTATTGATTTTCTATCTACGTGACTTTACCGAAAGAACCAGAGTAAGCAAATCACATGAAGACATTGGTAAACAGTGCCTTTATTTGATTTCCCTAAAGTTACAGAAAGTGTGGGTATTGTGGTGGATTGCCTATGGCTAAACATTTTTTGTTGTTCTGATAAATACCCTCCGTAAGATCGAAAACATTCTTTCACTTATCTAACCTTCACTCATTTACTGTACATATATGTTTAGTTTGAAGTGAAGTGCTCTAGGCCTTTGAAGTTGTATTTTAGTTTGTTTATTATCATCATCATCATCATTAGCCATGATATGTCGAAAACTGTATGAAGGACTCGCCAAGACATCGTGGTCTCATGATGCAACAATTAATCTTAGCTCCTGCACACAAGATGTTTTCATTGCTCCATCTCCAATGTCGACATACTGTCATTCATCATAAGTCTGGACCAGCATCATCCTTTCTAGTGACGTGTCTTTCCTAAGCCCGATTTTCTTATGAGTCAATATGCTGGCGAGATGTTAAATACCTCTCCTGGTATACAGGAGGTCATGGTTTTGATCCCAACACTGACACCTCCTGTGGTCATGTGGTTTTATTTCCAGGTCCTCCGTTTTTTCCCTCCACATTTAGAAACGTGTTTAGAGTATTTGGCTGCTTTCAATTCCCACGTGATAAGCTACTTCGTTGAGCTGTGATTTGTGGCTAGGTGGCTTCTGAAAAAGAGCTATATAGCTCAGTGGGCCTTACCTGGTAAAATTTAAAATGATTTAGTTTAGTTTTCATGTCTCCAACTTGTGAATTTTATCTCATCCATGTGTTCCTCTTCTAGTGATTCAGTGTAATTCCAAAATTGTACTGCTTCATGTTTACTTGCACAAATTTAAGCGTGTTATTGTATTCCCATTGTTACTTTTGTTAGAATTACAATTACCAGCATGCGTCTAACCATTCATCCTCTCCACAATTGGAGGAATCGCCACGTTTGGGGAGGTCCCATCATACATTCAAGATTTAAGTCTAGTTTGACCCTTGTTAGAATCGATGCTGTCCGAAGTTTACAACGTCACATGAACCAATCACAATAACACAAATAATTTAAAGTAATCCATCCCTACATGCACAATTCGATGAATGCATTGCAAGTGGGAATCTGTTTCATTTGGTGAATCTTGTATCCATAATAATGCATTTCTATGTCCAGAGCTTTTCATGAAAATGTAGGAGTGCATTGCTAATGCAACATAACACAATTGTCATGGTACAATGACACGCACAGAGACGGAGATAATCTCAATGGATTACTATTTGGCCATGGACACATTTTTTACGCTCAACAAATGTGCTCTACAAACATACGTGGCAAAGAAAGTTTACGTCTTCAGATCCCATCAGAGCCTTTGTGGTAAAACAACATCAAGAAACAAACAAACCAATTTCTTCTTGCTCATTTAAAACCCATTTTGACATCCAGCAGGGTTGGTGTGACCTCAGCTGAGATTCCACTGATAAATCAAATACCCACTCACACCTATCATAAAATTGGTGGCACACTTGCTTGGCTGCAAACAGCAACAGGTGCTTGGGGCTTGCCTGAGAGACCTAAAGTGCACGCACAGAGAGGACCGGTTGAGAATTGAGCCCATTACTGTGGCTCTTAAGGGTCAGGGAAAACCTGTCGCTCATTGTTTGGCATCATGTGGGACAGAATGAGAGGTATGATTGAGCCGATAATGCCTTGACCAAGCTTTTGCACCCTTTTGTAGGACGGTTATGGAATATGTGCGTGTAGTGTATAGAATATGTATAGCACGTGTTAAATATCGCATTTTGTCCATGGTAGTTTGTAATCTAATGCAGGCATGCTGTATATATTTTCACCGTTAGCCCTTTAATAATGTGCTTTGGGAATATTATCAAATAAGTGCACCATCTGCCCATTTGTATGTAAATTAAATATCCTATTACGTGCATTGCTTGCACTAGCATACCCTTGTGATGGTGATGTGACGCAATTAGTAACTGTAACTGAAATGACTGAATTTCTACATTTTGCATTTAGCACCATGCATGATAGTTGTGACTGAAATAATCTGGTAATCATATGAAAATGCTGTGTTTGTTAAAACTGGGAAGACAGTGTGCAGTAGTGGCGCTAAGTGTACTTGTAGCAGTTTTACTTTCAGTGATAATTTAGAGTCATCCTCACAACTGAGGGTTAATGCCGGTGAACTGATGCTTTCCCACCTTTTGCAGACTTCCGCTTCATGGCATGTAGAGTCCTGTCCAATTTCTCACCGCCCACCAACTCGTCCATTTCCTTCCACTCCCCTTGTAAAATAGTCCTTCGTTAGATCTCTATATTGAACGGTCAGTGAAAGTTTTGACAGAATGGAAAACTATTTTGTGACTTAAACATGTAATTAATATTATGGCTAACATCTAAACCTGCTGTCCTTATCTAATTTCCAATTTTTATGCATTTTTTAAAATATACAGTATCTGATCGTCGATTATAATTTTAAATATAAAGCAATTGCAAATGGTTGAATCCGCATGCAGTAGGGTCAAGACAGAAATGTTCTGTAATGCTTACAAAGCATAACCATAGCGCTTTCCTAATGGCCTTTGTGCTATAAGAATGGTAAAAATACTGTAGGCACTCAGTTGTTGAAAATATTATTAACAATATGTGATAAAAGTGGCTCACAGGAGTGGTCAGGAGCTGGTTTCCAGCCTCCATAGTGATGGAGAACTTTTAAGCACAGCTCGGCATGTCTGGGATCCAGTTCAGGGCCTTAACCCCATCACCTGTTGGCTCCTCCGTCACCACCTTCCATTCATACATCACCAAGGTCAGGGGTCGGCAAACCTGCACCTCCAGAGCCGCATGCGGCTTCTGAAGGACTGCTCTAATTAGCACAGTTGACTACACACGGTGCGAAAAAAGTTCAACATTCATAAATACATTTCTTTATTAAGGACCGCCTCGTATTCACAAGCATTGTGGCTCTTGAAATTTTGAGTTTTTTTTACGAAATTTGAAAATGATGGCCGACCCATGACCACAGTCAATCAGAAAGAGGTTAGATGAACAGGAAGGGATGTGGTGCACTAGAAATGTATGGTACAACATAGAATATCTGACTGTCAGATATTTACCTTAACAAATTCACCACCCTTTGCAGTATTTTTTCATGATGTAACTAACTATTTATAAATGTTCGTATAAACTGACCTTTTCACATATCTGCCTATTCTCTGTCCTCAGCAAGTTGAATATGCAACATTACATATCTATGAAACTATTTTACATTTTACCATGTAAAGCCCACTGAGCTATTTAGCTATTTTTCAGAATCGACCTGGCCACAAATGATAGTTCAACGAAGTGGCTTATCACGTGGAAATTTAATGCAGCCAAATACTCTGAACGCATGTTGATTCTAAATGTGGAGAGAAAAACCGGAGGACCCGGAGAAAAATCCACGCAACCACGGGTAGAACATCCAGACTCCAAATGTACAGCAGGCGTCAGAGTCAGGATCGTACCCACGACCTCCTGTATAGCAGGCGAGGTAGTTAACATCTCGTCACCGTGGCGCTCCATCCCTCCATCTGAGGGATGGAGCAGCGGCACAGTGGTTCGCAGTGCTTCTCTATGAACCCAGAGAATTTGATAGCCAGCAATGACGAGCACTAACCAGCATGGTGAAATATTCTCAAACGACCCCTGTGACTGGCACGGTGTCTTTGAGGTTTTCATCCAGCTGTGAGTTGACAAAGGGTTGTAAAGTAAAAAAAAACATTGTCATTGGTTATGATTTTGTTTGTATTTGTATTTGATGTTGAATTGGCTGCAGGAACGCTATGATGTTTAACAACGCGCTCATCTCAGATGTCACCTTTGTGGTGGGGCCTCAGGGAGCCAGCCAGCGCATCCCCGGACACAAGGTGAGATGACCCATTAAGCCCCCGAGATGTGCATGGACTATTGCAGCGAGCAATCCGCGTGCGGCTGAAAGTGCCAGTGAAAAGGGCAGGTGTTGCTTTGTGGATTTCCGATGTACTTCCAAAGGTGATCCGATTGTGAGTAGCCCGCTGCTTTCTGATATTCCTCTGAGTTTCTTCTAAACAGCTGGTTGAACATTGTGAAAATGATGGCTCCGTATCTTTGAGGAGAGTGCTAAAAGATATAAGTATTGAAATTGTTGGGAGATGTGTAGAGGCTTGAAAATATAATTGTAGTTTCTTCTATAATTGATCATTATTTTCGTTGGGGTATCTAGCAATGGTCAATGGATAACCCTGTATCTATCTACCGAAAGACCCAAAGAATATGAACCCTGTATAATCACTACATTACAAGTCCTCGCTTAACGCGTTTTTAATAAGATGCGGTTCTTCTATTAGGGGGGGAACACTTTGCGCACAATGTGTAACGCGCCTATTATAACGCGGTTTCTGAGCAGTGGTCGACGAACTACTTTCGTGAGCTGCGTGGCTGAGCAGTGTGGGAATTCTGGGTATAAGCGCATAAGGATACAGTACGCGGCGGCGTACCTTCATCTCAGTCCATTATCCCGCCATGGTATGGCTGCAGACTTATTTTATGGTGCAAATCTAATTCAAATTTTAATTGTATTTATTTATGCCCTGTAATTTATATACAGCAAATCCTCGATTAACACAGCACTTTTCAGGAATGCATCTTCCATTTTGAACGAGAAATTACTGCACTAATCTCAGCCCTTTGTCAATCCACTGCTGGATGAAGGCTGCCGACATAGTGGTTGTTTGACGAAAACTGCGCCACGCTGGTCAGTGCGCGTTTGTGAAGGGAAGGGCACCCTAGACTGGTTTAGATATCACTAGCCACTGATATCAGCGCCGGCTGGAAAATCAAATTCAAGTAGCCGAGCTTATTGGGCAGTGTGCTCATCATTATGCCACTGCTTCACCCCACTACTCAGACATTAATATGAATGCCAGTTGTCTTAATTCTTAAATGCAAAAAATCGCCAATAATAACAACACTGCTTTAACAGAAGAATATATAATCGAGGACATTTCGAGCAATGGCCTGTCTTCATAGGACATTCCAGAGAGGCCAGAGATATATAATTGTAAAGGCTTGTAGACTGCACTTAACACCATGGGGCCTGGTGAGAATTACATAAAAACATGTTTTCTCATTACCAGTTTTTAAATTGGCATATAGATCGTTCTGGCAAAATCGCCCAATGATGCTGGATGTAATTACCAGCGGAACTTCGTGCTCATGTTGTAAAAGTTGTGGCTTTACTCTCCAACACACCGGTGCACTGAAATGTAGTAACTAATTGGCAAGTTTTGTTTACATGACGAACCTTACTAATTGGCTGTGTCGGGTGGTGGCAGGGTTAATGGCACATTTATACCTATTAGTAGCGATTAAGCGCCAGAAAAAAAAACCTTCAACTATCTAAAAAAAATACGAAATTAATTGATACATATTAAAAGTTTTTTTTTTAATGATGCTGGCACAATTCATTTTGGGAAGGTTCTTGTTAAGACAATGTGCAATCCTCCCCCCTGGCAGTGCATTTCTGCTCGTGCACCATCACCAAATAATTTCTTTTAAATTCACCTCGGTTTGTGTGTAAAACAAAAAGTGCAGTGTATAAATAATCCAAGGCCATGTTGTCCATCTTTACTTATTGTAAACGGTTTCAAACGTGCTCCTTGTTTTCCTGAGTGTTGTGATACGTTTTTGGAAAACACAAAGAAATAGGTGAAAAGAATCAAGTCACATTGTGCCGTTTTCCACACTTTACCCCCTCTGCTTTGTGCTGGCTGCCAACAATGCAAACGTGTCTTGCTGCTATTCACACATTCGTATAGACTTTCAGGACTGTTTGTTCACTGATGAAGTAGATTGACGAACCATTACAGCCTTTGCCTGAACGAATAACGTGAAGTTTATTGTGCAAAAAAAAGAAAACGGCTTTCTGATTGAGCTTTCAGGAGAGAAAAATCCTATCGTGAACTTTTGGTCATCTGTATTTTTGTAAAAAGAAAGTCCAAACAACTTGCGAGCATAATTTCCTTAGTTTAACACGTAGGCTTTCGCGAACAATATCATCCATAATAGAGGTTTCTTTTGGGTTATATCGCGTAAATATATAAGCCACAACATTTACAATCTAGATTGTAATGTTGTGGCTTGGCTCTCCACCACCGGTGTGCTGTCCTAGAGACGAATTGGCATGTTCTGTTTACGTGACAACCCTTACTAGTTGGCTGTGTCGGGTGGTTGATGGTTTAACGACACATTTATATATTTACGCGACATAATCCAAAGAAATACCTCTTATGCATAATTAACTTTTTGTAGTTCAAGCAATACGTTCCCACCGCTCGTGACTGTTTGAATGCAGTATACATTAGCAACAAGGCTGGTTGTTAAACTATTGTTAATGCTGGGTGCATCATATACTCACGAAAGTATAATTTAGTCTTGACTGAAAATGACGGAACAAATTCCATGCCATGTTAAAGAATCATCATTTGCAGTGGTGTGGAGAATATAAGTGACAAATAGATAAGCAATATATCATTTTTATCTGTCTCTCCACGTAACAAATAAAAGTCGTTTTTACACAGCCCATCAGTTCCACAGCCTTCAAGCAAGCCTGAATGCTGATTACACTGGTCAACGCACTTTTTCTGGCATCAGGGTCTTCCAACGGTTTTAATGTAATTTTGGGGTGCTGATTCCAAATCCAGCATCAGTTTTTGTCTATCGCATTAGGTTTTTGAGATATCAAATATTGCATTTTCAATAAAAACTGCAGAAGAAAAATATTAAATAAATGTGGATATCTACATAAAATGATATTATAAACACACTATCCTAAAAATACAGCACCATATTTTAACACTAAAGCAGTCACTGACTCGCAACAACTTGTAATCATAAGTGACAGAGTTAATTTCGGGTAAAATCAATGAAAATGGGGTATGCCGATAGCATAAAAATGAGATGTGATAGAGCAAATCAGAGATCAGATTTGGAATCAGCACCCCGAAATTAGTCTAAAACAGCTGCAAAATTCCAGGCCAGAAAAATAATTCTTTTTTTTGTTGACCAGTGTTATATTACACTGTTGAAACTGGTCCAGAGTATTCATGTACTGAGTACATGCCCCTGAAATGATGTGCCTCCAGAAGGCAGAATGGCTGATGGGTTGTGCATAAACTATTCTACGTGGAGAGACAGATATGACTACCTAAAAGGAGACATATCGTCTGCTGATCTATTTTGCGCCGTGGCAGAGCGTTGAGTCAGCACCGTTGAGATCCTGGGTCAGAATCCACGTCTGATTAAACTGGCTTCGAACTTTGTAGGAAGTTGATGGTCTTGGCCTGGTTGCCAATGACTGCGCAAATAAGACCATGATGTGGAATTATACTGTTTGTTTTTAATAATTTTTACTTGATCCTGTTTTTATTAAGTCCACAAATATCACTTCTATAGCAGGGCATGTATGTGCATAACCTGGAGTAGATTGGAGGCAAATTGAAGGGACCTCATAATTCGTGTTGTGCTATTATCTTCCAGAGGTTGTCTGTCATGCGGTAGTGTGCTTAATTCTGCAAGAGTTCTGAATAGAAGTGTCTTAATTTCATGTAATGATGCTGATGGCACACTTGGATTATAATTGGAGTAAAAAAAAGGAAAATTGTATTATTAATATGAGTCAATCCATGGACAAAGAATGCATTGTTCTTTAATGTATTTTAAAAACTTATATAAGAAATGTACGCTTTCATTTGGATCACCATGTCGTGCACTCAATGCCAGCCAAGGTGTTTTTTTGTCTTTTTATCTCCTGCCAGATAAGTTGCCCATATTTAGTCACTTTGTGACATGTTCTCTCTTATTGTTAGGTTCAGGTATTTCCACTGCTTTCAGCCTGCTTGACTGTATTGTAATAGTCACCTAAAAATATCCCTTAAAAGAATGCAGTTCTTCTGGAGTGGCTTGGGAACTTTGTTTGGTTGACCTTTTCTTTTAGTCCTGCAAACTTGTGTGATGATACGATGTTGTGACATTGAAATTAACTTGTGCAGCATTTAATTCATGCTCTGGTAGTACTTGATCATTAAGAATAGCTACAGTGGCAGACTCGAAATATCTTACCATGAGCAAAAGTGTAACCAAACTTGCACAATTGGTTTTCCGAGTGGACTTTTTAAAATTCAACTTTCCACGACTGGTCAAACTCGTATGAAACAAGAATTTTACTTTGCCTGCCCTTTCACACTATCGCCAGGAGCTTCTTTTGCCTGACTCTGACACGACTTCTTTCTAACATTTGGCCAACTCGCAGCTCTTGGCACTCCTCATTGAAGCGTCTCCACACCCCCGTATTGTTCCTGCTGTGCCGTAGCAAAGAGACGTGTGTTTGACTGCTGCACGTCAAAATCTTGACACGTTCAACTCTGCTTTTGCAGTACCTGCTGGGGGTGAGCAGCTCGGTCTTCTATGCCATGTTCTATGGAGAGCTTGCCGAAGAGAAGTCTGAAATTGTAATTCCTGATGCAGAGCCACCTGCCTTCCTCGCCATGTTGAAGTAAGCCTTTTCAATTTTTTTCTAAAAGCCTCTATATCCTCCCCTCGTGGCTCAGTGTCACTCACGAAATAGCTCAGAGCTGTGAAGTGGTTGTGTTGCGAGCATCTTATTGTGATGGGTTACTCAAATCAGACAGGCGGCGATATCTACACGGCAGTGCGTGTGATGGACATGTGCAAGGTATTGGATAACATGGTGGGATGTTTAAGAGATGCTGTAGTCGTTGATCAAAAGCCTCGGTAGTTAAAAATCAAGACAAACGTGCAACACTGTGAACCAATACCTGAGTGTATTAATATTAGTACATGCGCTGCATTTAAATGACTGTTAAACACAGCACGTCCGACAAAGGTGCATTACGTCCGAGGTGCATGCTGTCATCTTGGCCATAAACAGGTCGCCCTGGGAGCTTTGCATGTATTGTTTTTAATCGAGAGATACTCAGTAAATCTCCGAGTGTATCTCAAGCACTTAACATGCATCCCAGAGCACTTTTTAGCAGCACTGACGTTAATGAAAAAATAAACTTGACCCCCGAGTGGTAAGACAAATGACTTTTCACCACCATATGCAATTCGTTGGCTGCATTTCATGCAAGATGTTCAGTAGCAATTAAATGTGGATTGAGGGCTTAATGCAAAACATTTTTGAGGTTTCACATCAGTACTCCCCAGGTATAATTGGCAGAGACCACTTTCTTCCTGACACCTGGAGCTAAACCTTCAAGTAGTGGCTTTAACACTGCATGGCCAGATCCATAACTGTTTGTAACTGACATTTTCAATCTGTCTATAATAAATTAATATTTCTTGAGAGCTAGCCAGCCAAAATCTCTGCGTGAAATTGCATCATCATCGAGTCCACAATTACACATCTGCAGTCAACCGTGTGTGTATATACACATTTTAATTGAAATACCCTTCATATGGATGGCTTCAGCCATTGAATGGCACTTCAAACAAGGTACTGAATGCTCAATGCCATGAACCATTATTATTCTGACTGTTCTGTGATTAGCCAAGCATTTTACTGTGCTGTTGGTAATTGCTATGCAGAAGACTGCTGCAGGCTTTTGACTTCTGACAAATGTATCCTAACTGCTGACAAACAGCCTCTAAACTTTTAGCCGTCTGGGCCACCTGGCTGCCAACGCAACAAGCCTGGCGTGTGTGCCATTTGGGTCAAATTTCGCGTTTAAATCCGGTTTGTCCCCAGGAGTCGGTGTATGGGCTACGTGACAGACTTTGCCTTCGGTCGCAGCCATGTGACGACGCCGTTTAATTCCAAGGCAATTGACGCAGGCAGTGAAACCTCTGGTGATGACCAATGGATCTGGAATGTAGTTGCATTTACGTTACGCAATGCATGCAAGTAAGGTTCATTGGCTTTATGTAATTAGTGCCACAAGCATCTCGTTTTTAAGCCTTCGTTGCTTTTTGTTCACTCGGTGTCAAAAGTGGCCTCGGTTGTATAGTTTTGATATGTCCATGTGAAATGCGTAAATAAACTATTGCAAATACTGTAATATGTTCTCAAACGTAGAATCGGTACACGTTTGTACAAACTCGCTATATAAGTAAATAAATGGCCATCCACTCAAAGTGACGCAGACGCTAAAGACATTTTACAATTGTTTTCTTGTATATTTTTTTCCCCTCTATGGAGAAAATAAATAAAACAAGTGTTACCTCTGCCTCGGCATGCACTGCACGTTTGGTTGCAGTCCAATGTAAAATGTCAAAGTAGGATAAACCCTACATGTATTTGTTCATGAATGAGAGTATCTATGGCTCTGTTGTCATCCGTGTGGCAAGCATTGCTTTGTGGCAGTTTGACCTCGAGAAAGGTTATTTCACTTCAGCAGGCATTCAGGACGAGGTAACATTAAGTGGCTCACGAAAAGTTAATGCTATGCTTCTTGTATTCATGTTATTAAGATGAGGCAATGTAATTGTACCATCTGTAAGTTTTGTCTCACCCTTGCAATTTATTTTGACTCAACGTGGTGAAGATAGTGCACCGTCGCCGCTGGGCCATTTGGCACAGATTCTGATTAATTTCCTGTAGCAACCCGATAAACTGTCCTGTTGGGTGGTCATTAAAGTACCTCTGACGTCATTCACACGAGTACACCATCTTTAATACATTTCGTTAGGATCTGGATGTGCACAAAAAAATCCTTGCAATAATTCCTAAAATTGACTGCCATCTGATTTTATTAAAGTGGTCATATGATTCAAATGTTCAGTTCCTCACGTTTGTGTTTTGAGTGGTGCTCACCGCCATGGTCAGATCTGAGTCACTGATGTAAAGTCCACATTCCTATGGCGGGGGCCATTCTCTCCACAGGATGACCACTATTACCCTACCAGAAAGTGGGTTGTCTTGTTTTATTACCCACAAAGGAACAGTGGTGCCAGTGTAACCACCGACCAGTAATTAACCCTCCTTTTGAGACTTGACGACTCTGCCACAGTGCCACCCAGCTCAACATGGAAAACCTTTATCTTACCGAGTGTCATACAGTACTTTAATATGCTTCTGGTGGGCCAAATGAGTTGATAATACAATTATATCACACTTGGATTGTATGCATTGACTGTGTACGTACGTATGTTGAACTTCTTTGCACCGTACACACGCAACCGTGCTAATTGACTGTGTTCAAAACTACCTTAAAAGACAACAGGTGACCGAGTGTGCTAAAATCACAAACACAGTTTTATCAGGTTAAAAGTATTTCCCTATAATGTTCCCTAATTCGTACAGCCAAGATATTGCAGGCCGTTTCCCAGTGGGGGGGCGGGCCCCATGTGGTCATGGGCCGTATTAAAATTTAATTTGTATTGACTGCATCAAGCTCACAGACCGCATCAAGCCCACAGACCGCATCTCGCTCACAGACATTATGTCCCCCCACCCCTGGAATAGAATAAATGCATTAAAGGTGCAGCTCTGCAATTCCCTGCATACGCCACTGCTGGCAGAAGGGCTTCTAGAGGGCTCTTGGCCTACTCTTCCATGTTAGCCATACGTCTTGGAAGAGATGGAAGTACCCACACTATACCCCACCAAATGTAATTGGCTGATAGACTAATTGCAGTGAACCCATTTGTACTGCTGGGTGGACAGAGACGGTGGCAGGGATATAAAATAAACCTGCCCCATTGTTTCAACTGCCGCGCTGGGATATCGAATTGAACTGACGACCTCTAAAATTAACAAGTCCGGTGCGCTCACAATTGCATCATAGCAGTGTCCCAGGATAATGCAGCTATCTAAAACTAAAAACTAAACTTTCTATTTTATCAGGTAAGGCCCACTGAGATATACAGCTCTTTTTCAGAAGCGAGCCTGGCCACAAATGATAGTTCAACGAAGTGGCTTATCACGTGCAATTTTATCACAGCCAAATAGTCTCAACGCATGTTTCTAAATGCGGTAGGAAAAACCAGAGGACCCCGAGAAATATCCCCATAACCACGGCGAGAACATGCAAACTCCAAATATATATAGGTGTCAGGGTCGGGATCGAACCCACGAAACCTCCTGTATACTAGGTAAGGTACTTAACATCTCGTCCACCGTGGCGCTTTTGACATATGAGCACTTGCACTGGCAGGTACATCTATTGCGACGAGATGGATCTGGACGCCGACTCGGTGCTGGCCACGCTGTACGTCGCCAAGAAGTACATGGTGCTGCACCTGGCGCGCGCTTGCGTGTCCTTCCTCAAGACGAGCTTGACGGCGCGCAACGCCTGCGTGCTGCTGGCCCAGAGCCGCCTCTTCGAGGAGCCCGAGCTCGCGGACCGCTGCTGGGAGGTGATCGACGCACAGGTGAGGGCCCTGGAGAAGTTCGTTTCTCGATGGCGTGAGGGAATAGTGCAGGAACTGTTGCACTGGCCGGCGCGCAGTGTGGCACGCGCTCGCTCACTAGCTCTCTCCTTCACTCGCTCTCTCTCTCTGATCCGGATACCGTGGATCTTCGGGTTGGATGACTTGCGCAGACGGGGTTTCCTGAGAGGGCCTGAAGGATGGGAGTCACAGAAAGTAGGTTGTGGACTTTTATATGTGGAGTTGGAGTGTTATATATGGTTGCCACCTAAGGTGCAAACCTGTGAACACATGGGAAGAACGATGTATCACAATAGCGGAGGAGGAGAGAACCTCATATACATGCACTGTTCTGACAAAAACGTGAAAGCTCTGTCAAAAATAGGATATCCTGGGAATTCAGGACCGGTGGCAATGATGGATGTTATTTGACTATGTGTATGGGTCTCATGCAGGCACTCTGGTTTCCATCCACATGCACACAGACATGAAAAAGAACTGATCACACATCCTGAGTGAGATCATGATCGAATATTGAGTTTTGACACCTGGATAGATTTTCCAGGGTGACCAAATAACGTGTTACTCTTCAATGTCAGACTTAAAGTCTCTATGACTAGCAATAGATGCAACAGGATATACCGTAAGGAGAAAATCCAATGTGAGATCATCATTGCCTGCCGTCATTTTGAACAGGTGATTTAGATTTGTGAGGGATTCAAGTGAACAAACCTCCCAACAAGGCACGGCTGAGAACTGAAAGGCTTTTCATTGATTTGTTGTTGCATCGGGAAAAGTAACCATCGTCGTTAATGATGCATGCCTGCTCTATTCACATCAGCCCCGAGTTGAGAACTCTTTTTGGCTGCCAAATTAAAATATTTCTCGAAGATCGTTGGAAAGCATTCGGCCATCCATGGCTGATACTGGCAGTGGGACATCATTTATTTTCTATGCGCTCACTGCGTGGAGTTTTTTTTAATAAAAATAAAAACCTCCAGGGGTGATAATGTTCTTAAAACCTTTTCAAAGTATCGTACGTGTATAATGTTCACATGCAAAATCTGTGTCGCCGGTTAACTATTTAATCGCACAAAACGAAGTTATGCCTAACACATCGGTCGCAATTAATCCTTCAAAGTCATTGTGTCATTGTTCAGTGCTTATATTTAATATCCCATTTTGTGTGCACAATGAAAAAAAAACATGGTACGCGCATGTAAACTAAATTGGTCATCAACAATAGTGCCTCTTAATGAAGCAACGATAACGCTGAAGAACAACATGTGGATTGCGTTTGTGGTGGAGGATTCTTTTTTCGTTAATTCTCAAGTGTTTTGGAAAATTATAGCGGACTCCGCTGGGTAGCGGCAACCAGCAGACAAGCCTGTGTGTGCATGTTCATCCCCCGTGGCTCGCATTAGTCCGGGTCAGATGCTGCTGTCTGTTTCGTGCTGTGCAGCCTTTCTGCTTGAGAATCGGATGCAGTTTTTCTTGTGTTTCCCGCTAACAAAGACTGACACTTAAAAGGGCACATGCTTTCAGAAGTTCGAGTTTTTTTGCGCGTGTTTATTTATATGTTGCCTGATAAAAAAAAAATCATTTTTCTCGTTGACCTCATGTTATTTGTGTGGTTTATTACGAACACCGTTGATCTGAATTGTACACACAGGGTGAAGAAAGAGATCACTGATTTGGAGTTGTTTGACATGTGTGTACTGCGATTTGCAGTGTTTTTTTTGTTAAACAAGCAAATATGCGTTAAAATGCAAACAAACATTTGCTATTCTGGTGTATTCGTCATTTGTTGTGCCGTGGCAATCGTTTTCTCATGTAAGTTCGTGTAATGGGAATCTGAAAACGAACATTGCCGGCTTCTTGTTACAAAGGCAAGCATGTAATCGAGAAAACACCATCACACGGCGATTCGTATAAACACGTGATTGGTAATCATCGTATGCTTTTTCTTTAGATGAACCAAGTGGGTTATAATTGTTATAGCGTCACATAGTTTGCCATGTGCACTCATACTCAAGTTAAAATGTTGTCATTGCAGCCCACAGTCTTTTTAATTGCACGTTTACAGAAGGCCATCATCAAACGTTTAAAAGTGCATATGACACCGATTTTTCGACCACTTTGCACTTACTAATTTAATAGTACCATTGAGTATAAGAATTATCCTGAAGCCGTATTGAACCTTTTGGCAGTACAAATAATTACACTAAACCCCATTTCTCCTCTCTTTTTGAATTCTCAGACGAATCCAGTAACCCATCGAGGACAAAGAGTGATGAGTTATCGTGCTTAAAGAAATGCAGCTGGATAATATTGGTCTGGAAAGCCAATAGGGCAATGGACTGAAATATACTTTAACTTCTATATGCTTTTACCCAGAATGCACCACAACAGCTCGTAATACGTTTTTACGGAACGCGAAGGAAGCGTCGATCGACATCTTTCCCCCACACCTCCGAACAGCACAGTTGGCTACGTACAGTGCAAAAGAAGTTCAACATACGTACGCACATACGTATGTACACACATCGGCAATGCTTGTGCGCTGGTTGACGAGCGAACCCGCTCTGCGGCAGGCCGAGCTGGCGCTGCGCTCGGACAGCTTCTGCGATGTGGACCTGGAAACGCTGGCGGCGATCCTGTCGCGCGAGACGCTCAACGCGGCCGAGACGGTCGTCTTCGAGGCGGCTCTCGGCTGGGCCGCAGCAGAGTGCCGGCGATCGGTGGCGACGCCGACGCCCGGGAACATGCGCTCGGCGCTCGGCAAGGCGCTGCACCTGCTGCGCCTGCCCGCTATGCCCCTGAGCGACTTCGCCGACGGGCCCGCGCAGTCGGGCGTGCTGGACGCCCGCGAGACTCTCGACGTGTTCCTGTGGCACACGGCGCGCGGCAAGCCCGAGCTGCCCTTCCCGACGGCACCCAGGCGGGGGCTGCAGCCGCGTCGCTGCTGCCGTTTCCAGAGCTGCACGTTCCGCAGCAACCAGTGGCGCTACCACGGCCGCTGCGACGCCGTGCAGTTCTCGGTGGACCGCCGCATCTTCCTGGGCGGCTTCGGCCTCTTCGGCTCGAGCGGCGCGCGCACCGAGTACGCGGCGCGCGTGGAGCTGAAGCGCGGCGGCACCGTGGTGGCGCACAGAGCGAGCCGCTTCACGGCGGACGGCACGCCAGCCACGTTCCCCGTGTACTTCGAGCACCCCGTGCAGGTGGAGCCGGACGCGTTCTACACGGCCAGCGTGGTGCTCGACGGACCAAGCCTCAGCTACTTCGGGCAGGATGGCCTGACCGAGGTGCAGTGCGAGGGCATCGCCTTTCAGTTTCAGTGCTCCTCCGACAGCACCAATGGGACGGGCGTGCAGGGGGGACAGATCCCTGAGCTAATTTTCTACAGCTGATGAGACTACGGGCACGCCAGCACGTACATAGGTTTTATTTGTCTTATTTATTTTTGGACATTAAAGCTGCTGCTGCTGCTGCTTTAGGGGAGGCCTTGATGTAACAGTGAAATGGAAGTAGCTACCGCCTACTTCTGGGGATGCTACTGCTGTTCTCAGCGTGTAGTGGTGACGGTGATGAAGCTGAAACTGTATTGGGTGCATGGGTCACGAAAAAGAATTAGCTTTCCAATTACCTTGTGATGATGGAAATTGGAACGATAAGAGGACCAGCACACTATTGAGCACTTTCTATAACAAATGCCAAGACATGTTGGCTGATAAGCTTGTTGAGCAGGTAAGTACAGTGGTGCAGAGTAGGAGTGTTTCACTGAAAGCTGTTAATACCTGGTTATGCAATACATTTGCTCCAACTGAAAAAATTACACGCTGACAAAAGGAGCAAGGGTTAAAGTGTTTCGGCAAGAGTATGATGTGCGCGAATTAATATAGGGCCATGGGTGTGTGAAGGTCATCTTAGAGACAGTGCTTACTCCTGCTGCAGGGGGGGAACGTCTTCATCTTTCGAGGGTCATTTAGCGACTCATTCACTTCAGTCTGATGGATGGTAAGAGGGTGAGCTACCCACAGTTCACCCTTAGCAACAGGCATGGGCTCACTGTAGTGAAATGGTTATTTTATCACTGGGTGCATGGAGACACCCTTGACCACATCAGCAGGACTGTGCCCGATCTCGTCATATCTCGGAAGCTCATCAGGATTTTGGGGCCTGGTAAATTATTGGGTGGGTGACCACCATGCATGCCAGGTTGTCCCAGGTGGATGTGGGGCTACTTAAACTATAACTAAACTATTTTTATTTGATCAGGTACGGCCCACTGAGCTGTATAGATATTTTTCAGAAGTATAGCAGCCAAATACTCTAAACACATGTTTCTACATGTGGAGGGAAAAACCGGAGGACCCGGAGAAAAATCCACACGGCCACAGGAAGAACATGCAAACTCCAAATATACATGCGTCCGGGTCGGGATCGATCCCACGAACCTCCTGCATGCCAGGCGAGGGAGATAACATCTCGCCACCGTGGCGCCCCTTGGTGGTCAGCAAAGGACAGTGTAGCAAAAGCCACTTTTGTACAGTGTTTCTATGCTCCCAGATCTAAACCACACTGACCCAAATTGTGCAGTGTGGTCAATACCCACGTGGTGTCGGGAGGCCCTCATCCAGCAGTGGATTGACATATGCGTGGGAGATGAGTGTTATCTTTAATAATTTCCTCCAGCTTCAAACGTTATTGACGAGGAAATGAACACTCAATTATGAATCCAATGTGTGCAGTCTCAAATGCCATCAATAATGCACAGTAATTCAGTTGTAAATGTCACAAAATAACAGAATAGTTGCGACCTACTTTTACTAAACGTATCCCAATTCAAGCCACGCGTATTATTTTCCTGTCGTCTTGGAGAGGCACAGTGAAGCACTCTGATAAAACGCTGAGAGGTTTGAAATTGAAAAAAATGGCCACGAGAGTGCAAAAATCTAATAACACTGCCTGTAAAGAAAAATCATATAAATCATCTACAGCAGGGTGAATTTACACCGTAATAACTACGTTATTTAGTGCTTTTAATCTAACGAGTAGCCTATTAGGATGAAAGTTTACACTGAAATAACTCGCGTCTAACTTACCTGCTACATACAATACATCAGTCACGTGTATATATTTTAGAGAAAACTAACATCATATATGGCCGAGAAAAAACGCGTAGTGTGATATTTTGGAAAGGCAGTTGCTAATAACTTGTGGTAAATTGTGTTCCTGATTTGTAAGTTGCACATTGCTGTGGTGAGGGAACACGTGATCCTTATGGCGGTACCCCTGGGTACCAAATAATACAAAATGTTCCGAGGCAATTAAACATTTTATTTCTGGTACACTTTTCCAGGGATGTTACTTAATTCTAGATTTGAAGCTTTCGTGACTGCAAGGATCCATACTCTTAGGTTTTTTCGGTAAAGTCACGTAGGTAAAAAATTACAATAAAATGTAATAATAATAAATGAAAATAAGTCAATTAAATCACGATGTTTCAGAGGCAACACAAGTCTCTATCTTCAGGTGGGACCGTCACAGCTAACAATTCTCACTTGATACAGTAAATTTGGCTGTGACGGTCCCACCTGAAGACGGAGACTTGTGTTGCCTCAGAAACGTCGTGATTTAATTTAGTTATTTTCATTTATTATTATTTATTATTATTTTTTTTTTACCTACGTGACTTTACCGAAAAAACCTAAGAGCATGGGTGTTACTCAACTCCGCGACTGGGGTACCAATCAATCCGAAATCGGTGCTACTCGGCGATCTCGAAACGCAGCGAGGACAATTGAATTGAAACCCTGACCGCTCATACGCACCGTAGTAGTGCATCGTGTCCAGCTCGTCGAGATGAGTCGATTGCCGCATCGCTGACCATCAACAGACTAAACGTGACTGCATCACGGACATTATGCGAGAGCCAGGGTACTATGGTACCCTGGGATACCGCCATGAGGTTCAAGTGTATATTTAGTGCTATCAGAAACAGATTATCATTTAGAAAAATGGCAGCTGTTATGTAATACATTTTTTTTTATTTCATCCAGCATTTCCCAACGTAAAAAAGATTTCGGGATAAATTTGTAAGGATTTCTGTAGCTTTTTTATCCAGTCTTAGATTATATTAAATGTATAACAACTTTGTTAATATTTATTTTAAGGTTTTGAAAATGTTCACTTTAAAATGCAGTTCACTCAAAAAAATGTATCTCACATTCTACAAATACTTTCAAGTTAGTAATGCACTATTATTTTAAAGGCTCTGTAAAGCACGGCTTACAACTTCTAAAAATGTAGGTTATGGAGTGGATCACTTTTATAAAGGTCACGAAGATTTTAACACGGCTCTGTAAACAAGACACTGGGGTATCCTTTTAAGCTTTCGAACACACTGTTCGACATTCAACTTTGTGCCAATTCTAAGACCGGCTGCTGTTCATTAATCTGCGGAGTGCATTCTCTCGCCTTTAAACACACGTTCAACAAGTATCGAAGCATCTTAAATTTGTAAGGGCCAATTAAATTTGACGCAGGAGTTGTTGAACAACAGTTAGTCATATGCCACATCTTCATAAGTCGAGGCCGTTTATTGCACAGCCGATAATTATTATCGTGGTGGGATAGCGGTCGCTACCTGCTGGGATTTAAAATCAACCTCCAGTTGACATTTCAGACGCTGTAGTTTATCGCAAACACACGATCAGTCAATATTTAAATAATTATTTTTTATATATGTTTTGTATACGCAAATTGTGGAATGTAGCTCAAGTGTGTTTAGACCGTTGATTTGTGGCCAGACAGACGTATGTGGTTATTCTACTGTGGAGGTCGTTGCCATATGTCCCGTTGTGTTTCGCTCCACGCGCTGAAATCTTTCTTCAGAAACTGTTCCGAATATTCAGTTCTAAAACCTCAGCAAGTGAATTGTTCAGGAACTGAATGCAATGTTTAACTTCTGAATTTGGAACCTGGTGTAGCTCCCCTAACAGCGTGGAGCAAACGTCCGGACGTTGTGTTGGACAATACAGAATCAGAATATTTATTTATACTGGAGGAATCTTATGAGCTATAAAGCTCTTTTTCACAGATGTCCAATAGGGGCAGGTAAGAACGTCGCAACAACATGCAGCGTGGTATAACCCGAAAACACACAGGGGGAGCTTGTTGGTGATTGTTGTGACTTTCATAGGGAAAAGTGTGTACCGTGTGTATGCACCGCTACACAATTTGGCACTTAATTGTGGCAAGGGTATTTACCATATAGCACTGACACCTGAACTGGTTTAATTGTAGTTTGTGTTGACAACGTAAAGTTTTGATCGGTGGTCTTTTTTCATTGGTAATGTAGCATTGTTTAATCGTTGATGAAAAAACAACGACGTCGAACAACAAAAGCAAATTACTGCATGTTAGCACTTAAATGAAATATGGAGGTTATCTGTTGACATAAATCGTAGAGCTTAATGTATAAAAGTTCACAAAGAATATATGTGACAGAGTTTTGCACAGGAGTGAATGAGAGCGCCAGATGTGCAGTCAAGTCCGCGTGGATGCTAACTTATCATTACACGCTTTACACAATAGCCAAGTGCTACTTTAAATCTTGTTTTGGTTATGAGTACCTCTGTGAAAAGTCCTAAAACATATGTCAGATTGCATATCCGTATTATTTTGTTTTGTAAGCTCAATTTTGTTTGAGACTCATTGCCTGAATTCAGTTACAGAATTTAGTTACCGCTACTTACAAAGGTAACGCTCGCATCGATGTTAGATGGCTATTTGCAAAACATAACTTTACACCGTGAGGTCAAACGCAGTTGGAGAAAGAGCCATAAAACGTGTAACGTTCACAAGGTTTTAAGGCACTCAACCATAAGATGTTTCACATTTAGATGTGTGCACCATTATTTGATCATTTAACAGCACATTTATTCATTGTTATGCTGTTCATACCTGCACGATTTATTTTTTCATGGACATTCATTTTGAAGGGCCGTCAAAGTTCCCTTCGATGCCCGTGTAAGACCATAATGAAATGTGGCCGGAATTCTTGTTTTCCCTGTGAAGTGGAACACACCTCGGTCCATAATTAAAATCGCCATTTATTATTTACACCGTGCCGCCTCCCATGCAGGAGGGACTTCAAGGCCAGCAGAAGTCCACACATGCCCTCATCCACTGGCACATCGAATCAAGATTTCATTGTAGTGTAAAACAAATAATGCTCTGCTGGACATGGGCAGTATTTTGTTGACGGAAGAGAACCCCCCAAATTAAACGTCACATTTGTGCAGGATGTGATGCCACCTAACATGCAGTGACGTTCACTTCCTTAGATAACTGAATGTCCTTTGTATCGCCATGTGCTCTCAACAACTGCCACTCTGTCATGATGAGATGAGTCCTTGCAATTGATAACTTGTTTACAGTAAATGTCAAAGCTCTCCATGACACTCTCAAATATAGAGCCAATGCCAATGTCGCCCTGTACAAAAGCCCCGATATGTTAATTACATCTCTGGCGCGACTAAATTCTTGATTACCTGGCCAGTTTACAACAATAGCGTTTTCTTGGTTCTTTCGGTAAAGTCACGTAGAAGGAAAATAATAGAATAATAAAAATAAAAGATAAAATTATTCTCACGACGTTTCGGCCACAACGCAAGCAGCCGTCTTCAGGTGGAGAACAGGTCTGTCGAGAAGGCAGAGTCTGACCTGTTCTCCACCTGAAGACGGCTGCTTGCATTGTGGCCGAAACGTCGTGAGAATTATTTTATTAGGTTTTATTTTTATTATTTTATAATTTTCCTTCTACGTGACTTTACCGAAAAAACCAAGAAGATGAATCCCTGCAGTCACGAAAGCTTTAAATCGAAATTTAACAATAGCGTTGTCGGTGCTGCACACGTCTGTAAAAAGAGGTGTGTATATTAATGAACAAAAGCTGCCTGTAGTAACATAACAAATGGTCTGGTTTAATTACTTAAGTGGCTTGTGTCTCATGCAGAGGCATTACTGCTATTCCGACCTGGATGTGAAACGTATTTACGTCTTCTTCCACTTGCACGCCCCTACAATTTTTGTATCTCACAAAAAAAATCAGGATTTGTCGCATTCTGCCTCTCTACATCAGTGGCGTAGCCCGCCGAAGCTTCCGTTCTCATTAATGCACATCAAAGGAGTTGCAGTGAGCCTCTCGCGTAATCTTGACAAGTCTCATTTTTCGCAGTCGCAAGTTCTCGGAGGCACCCGACTTTCAAAGTGTTGTTCGTCCTTTGGCTGGCTAACGCTCGTTCCGTGGTGTCCGTTATGTACCTCATAAGCCGTTCGCTTGGAACTACTTTTTGTATCTGAATCATTCTGTACAGGCAAGTGGGCTATCGCATTAACACAGATGCTCGTTCGCGGTTGTTTCAATAGGTCAATACATGCACTGAGTGCGTATCGTCGTGTTTTTCGGTATTTACATCTGAATCTGTAATACTGTATACAAACGCCCGACGAACGACCGAAACGTCTGGAACACTCCTGATGTCGAAAGCTAAGCAGGTTTGAGTCTGGAGAGTGCTTGGATGGGCGACCACCACGCATTAAACAGGTGTTGTAGGCCTACTGCGGGGCAACTGTTACTCAGTGGAGGGGAGTGCAGCAACATGCAGTGTTGTGCAGTACTCTGCTCCAATGTGTATGCTCCCTGCCTTCACCAAGCCTCATCAACCCACTCTGACCAGCGTGCCCTGGACTGTTGCAGCTGTTTTAGACTAATTTCAGGATGCTGATTCCAAATCTGATCTCAGATTTGCTCTATCACATCATTTTTATGCTATCGGCATACCCCATTTTCATTGATTTTACCCGAAATTAACTCTGTCACTTATGATTGGGAGTCAGTGACTGCTTTAGTGTTAAAATATGGTGCTGTATTTTTAGGATAGTGTGTTTATAATATCATTTTATGTAGATACAGTATCCACATTTATTTAATATATTTCTTCTGCAGTTTTTATTGAAAATGCAATATTTGATATCTCAAAAACCTGAAGTGATAGACAAAAACTGATGCCAGATTTGGAATCAGCACCCCAAAATTACCTTACAACTGTTGGAATACCTTATGCCAGAAAAAATGTGTTGACCAGTGTATAATCTAAATAACCCCCCTTGCCACCTGTGTGGCGGGGGGAGGCCCTCATCCAGCAGTGGATTAGCAAAGGGCTAAATATTTACAATTGAAAAATTGTAAACTGTTGTGCTTTAAAATCGTTACAGGTGATATATTAAACCTTAAAATCACCATTTGTTGAAAAGCATAACAGTACTGTAATTGTTTTGTCACCTTCTGAAGCGATGTAATCTGCTAATGAACCTTCATACCATTAATTTGCTCGATTTCAATGCGGTAACAATGGACTGCCTTCA